ACCTGCCGGGTGCTCCGGGACGTCCAGCGCGTGCCAGAACACCAGGGTGGAGCCGTCGGCCTCGTACATCTGGGACAGGGGGGACAGGGTGGGACCCGGGGGGGGACAGCCCTGGGGGAGCAGCGGGACCTCCAGGGACCCCCCCAAGCCCCCGAGCCCTCACCTGGACACCGCGTTGGGACGTGAGGACCAGGAGTACCCGGGCTGGCAGCTCGCACCAGGCGGCCTGGGGGACACAGCAGGGTGGGAGGGAGGCAGGGGCAGGACCCCCACACCCTCCTCCTGGGACCCCCCAAAACCTTCCACCAGAGGCAGGAACCCCCTCTGCTCTCCTGGGGCCCCCCCAGACCCTATTCCTGGGGGAGGGTCCGGCCACAGCCCCCCAGGGCCGGGTGTATTTGGGGATCCCACAGGTGGGTACTTGTCAGCCTTGGGGACCCCCCCAGTGTCCCACAAACCCCCCAAGGGGCTGCTTCCCTCTCCCCCTCCCCACAATTAGGGCACTGTGGGACCCAGGGGCCCCCTCGCCCTCCTCCCTGGCTCCGATGTCACCTGTAGTGCCAGGAGGGTGCCAGGCCCCACCTGTGCCCCCTGCCCCTCACCTGTGTGAGCAGGGGGGTGCTGAGGGCCGAGCCCCCCCCCCGCGCCGGCAGCTGCCGGGGGGGCCCCTCGGGTCCCAGCAGGCTGAGGGTGGTGCCGTGCACGGCGCCGAAGGCCCGGGGGGGCCGCGCGGGGGGGCACAGCACGGCCAGGTTGTTGTACAGGGCGGAGCTGCTGTTCCGCAGGGCCAGGGCCCGCTCCCGGCGGTACCTGGGGGGCACAGAGAGCCGGGGCGTCACCTCGGGCCGGGGGGGCCGAACCGATACAGGGGCACCGGGCGCAGATCCAGAGTGGTCACGGATGGATCCAGAGAGCCGGGGCAGCTCCGAGGGGTCCGAACAGCCCCGGGGGGCTCGGGGCGGGGGCAGATCCACCGCCCCTCCCCTCCCAGGGCCCTCCTGCCCCCCGGCCCAACGTTCTGTGCCAGGGACCCCAGAAATCCCCCCGCCCAGCCCCCGGGCCGCCCCCAGTCTCCCCAGTCCCCCCCAGCTCCCCCCGTTTCCCCCCCGCTCACCCGGTGCCCGCCGCCGCCATGGAGACGCGTCGCGGCGTGATGGCGCAGGGAGAGCGGCGCGCGGTGATGACGTCAGCGTTACCGTGGAGACCGGGACGCCAAGGGAGGGATGGCCGAGGTGGGACGGGAGGGAATGGGGGGGCAGCGGGGCGGGGGAAGGGGGCACAGGGGGGTGGGAGGAGCTGGGGCGTGTGTGGGGAGTTTGAGTGTACTGGGATAAGCTGGGATGTACTGGGGGCCCTCGCTGGGGTGGGCTGTGCTGTACTGGTCTATACTGGGATGAGCTGGGGGCCTCGCTGCCGTGGGTTGAGGTGTATGCGCTATACTGGGGTGTATTGGGATGAGCTGGGGTGGGCTGTGCTGTACCGGTCTATACTGGGACGTACTGGGATGAGCTGGGGGTCCGCGCTGGGGTGGGCTGTGCTGTACCGGTCTATACTGGGATGAGCTGGGGGTCCGCGCTGAGGTGGGCTGTGCTGTGCTGGTCTATACTGGGACGTACTGGGATGAGCTGGGGGTCCGCGCTGGGGTGGGCTGTGCTGTGCTGGTCTACACTGGGTCAGTCCCACCCGGGATGCGGTGTCCCCACTCGGCTGGGCAGGGGGAGCTGTGGGGTCTCCTGTCCCCGCGCAGAAAAAGAGATCGTCAGCCCCCAAAGTGCGACGGGACAAGTCGCGCCCCCCCGCCCGGGCCTCCCCCCGGGCTTCCACCCACTCTGACACCCACACGCCCTCGGCCGAGGGTGGGAGGAGGTCCCCGCCCGGGGAACCCCTGGACGTCGGGGACATCCTGGCCGAGCTCCTGGACAGGGTGATAGCCGAGAGCGTGCGGGCGGCGGTGGCGCGGCAGGTGAGAGACCCCCCTCCCCCGATTTGGGGGTCCTAGGGGTGTCTGGGGGGTCCGGGCGGGGGTCTCAGCGCTGTCTCTGCAGCGGGTGCCCTACACGGTGTCCCGGGCGCGGGACGCCATCCTGTGTGTCGTTGAGTGGCGGTTCCTGGCGCGGGACGAGGGGGACCCCGACCCCGGGGACGACCCGGACCCCGAGCGAGCCCGAGCCTGGAGCGAGGACGAGGAGCCCCAGCCCTGCGTCCTGGACACCGCGGCGCAGGGCGTTGTCCCCGTCCGGCTGGTCCCTCCGTCCCTGGGAGAGGTGAGACGTGCCCCGACCGCCCCGGAACCGCCCGGGGCCGCGGGACACCCGGTGTCACCCACACCGGCCCCTCTTTGTCCCCCGGGCAGGTCCCGTCCCAGGAATCCCCCGTGACAGACGAGGCTTCCTCCGAGCATCCTCTCCAGGCCCTCGACGCTGTCACCGTCCCGGCTGTCCGTCTGTCCCGGGGAGAGGTGAGACCCCGTCCCTCTCTGTGACCCCCCCCCGCGCTGAGACCCTGTAGCTCCGGGGCCACCCGGAGTGTCACCCACCCCGGCTCACCCCACGGGCCACCCCGACGCCCCCACCCACACCGGCTCCCCTCTGCCCCCGGCAGGTCCCCGGTGCGAAGCCCCCGAGCCAGGACCCCCCCGCAGCAGCCGGAGCTCGCCCCGCGGTTCCCGGCCGGGTCCCCGGCGCTGTTCCCACCCTGCCCGCGCCAGGGCCACCCCGCCCGAAGCCTCCCACCGCCCCCCGGTCCCCCGACAGAGAATCCCGTCCCTCACGGCCCCCCCGGCCCCGTCCGGCCCCGCTGGGCACCCCCCGGCCCCCGGCCCCGCGCCCGGCCGAGCCCCCGGCGCCCCCGGCGCGGGGGGAAGAGCGGGCATCCCGCGGGGCCGGGCTGGGCGACCGAGAGCCAGCACCGCCATCGTCCCCCCGCGCCAGCCTGGGTTCCCTCCAGCCGGGGAGACCCCCTCGCGGCCCGGGGGCGGTGTCGGAGGGGCCCGGCCCCGGCCCCGCCCCGGGGGTCGCCAGGCCGTGTCCCCGGCGCGGCTCCGCGCGGGTCCGGCCGCAGGTGAAGGTGCTGGACGTGTTCACCGAGCCCGAGCGGCCGCGGCCCCGCGCTGCCCCCCGCGCCAGCCGGGCGCCGGACACGGGGGGCCGTCGGGGCCAGCCACCCCCGCCGGGGCCCCCGCAGCCCCCGCCGGGCCCCCCCAGCCCCGAGCCCCCGCCGTGTGACTCCTGGCTGAGCTCGGCGCTGCTGGCGCCCGGGGTCACCGTGCGCTGGGCCGGCGGCGAGCGGCGCGGGCCGGGCACGGCGGGGCAGGGCGAGCACGAGGAGGAGGAGGGCGAGGTGAGCGAGGCCGAGCGGGAGCTGAGGCCCATCCTCTCCGTCCCGGCGTTCCGGCTCGCGTCGGACGGCGAGCGCTGAGGGCAGCGCCTGGAAAACCCGCCGGGAATGCGGCTGCGCCGGGCGCTGCCCCTCTCGGGGTCGTCCCAGCTCCGGGGGGACCCCCGGCCCTCGGTGGGTCCTCGGCACCCCGTGTCCTACCTCCAGTCGTGCCGGGGCCGGCACCGGGACTGGAGCTCGGCGCCCTTTGCCAGAACTTCTGAAGAGAACAGGAATCAATCAAATCAAATCAAATCAAATCAGAGGGGTTTTCCGTCACCGGGCTCCCGCCGCTGCCCGGCACCGGGAGCGGGAGCGGGGCCCGGGCGGTCCCACCGGAGCGGGGCCGGGAACTCCGGCCGCAGCAGCCGCGGTCCCACCACCCCCCGGGCCCACCCGCGGCGCGTCCCCGCAGCCCATCTGCCCCCAGAGGAGAAACCGGGGGGATGGAACGGGGTGACACGGGTGGTTTCACCCCATCAGCAAGCCGTGGGCCTCGCCCTGTCCCCGGGCTGCCCGTCCTGGGGGCTGTCCTCCGGGCATGGACCCTCCTGCAGCCGCCCCGGGGTGACAGTGAGGGGGGTGAACAGCCCTGGGGTGGCACCGGGGCACTGAGGTGGTACAGGGGACACCGGAGCGGCACCTGGAAACAACGCCAACTCTCTGTTGCTAATGAGGCGTGGGTTTCAGTTCCTCATTAGCATAAGAGGGGGAGTGGGCGTGGTTTTCGGATCTTCATTAGAATGAGGTGAGAGTGGGCGTGGTTTTCAGTTCATAGCGTGATGCGGAGTGGGCGTGGTCTCGCCATCGCACGTGCTCGGCACTTTATGCGGTGTTCGTGGGGCTCCACTTTGGGGGTCGAACAAGACAAGTACCCCAAAATGAAGTGTCCTATTTGTCCCGCTCCCTACGCTTGTGCAGCTCCTCCCTTGTCACACAACGCACCGCAGGAAAACTTTGGGGTGAAAAGGAGCTGTTTGGGTCCCTCCCGGGCAGGGACAGAACTGAAACCTTGTTCTTTTTGCGGTCGGGGCGGAGGCAGCGCCCGCGGAGTTTTCAGTGACAGGTTTCGCCACCGAGTGCTGATTAGAGGAAATACTGCAACTGCCATTAACCCTTTCCAGCGGGGTGGCACACGGGACACCGGGATGGCACAGGGGGCACACGGCCCAACCTCCTGCCCGCTCCAGCCACTCTCCTGTCTGTCCCGGTGTCCCGGCAGCTCCCGGGCCAGAGGGGCCCGTGCCGTGCCCTACTGCCGGCTGGGCAAAGGTCCTGCTCCGACCTCTGTCCCCGGCCCCACCCGCGCCCGGCCATGGAGCTTTCGGGGGCCCTGAGCCCCCCGTGGTGGCTCCTGCTGCTCCTGCCCTCGGGGTTGCTGCTCTGGGCCAGGCGCAGACCCCCCTGGGACCCCCGCAAGTGTCCCGCCGACCTGACGGGCAAGACAGTGATTGTCACCGGAGCCAACAGCGGTGAGCGGGGACGGGGACGTGTGTGGGTGACACGGAGCTGTGGGGTGTCCTGCGGAGAACACGGGTGTCCCTTCTCCAGCCCTGGAGCCCAGCCCTTGCCTCGGGGGTGCAAACGGCTGCGGGAGCGGCTGGTGGCTGGTCCTTGGGAACCCACAATGTGATCCCCGTGCCCCGTGCCCATGGCACCTCATGCCGGGTGGGCACTCCCTGTGCCCCCTGCCCACCCTCGGTGTCCAGACTCTGTCCCGGCTGCGTTAATGACTGACAGCCAAGGTCGCCACACTGCCAGCCACCACGGCCACCCTGTCACACCAGGGAGGGGGTCACTGCTCCCACCTGTGTCCCACTGCTGAGCACGGGGTCGGGCTGGCACAGCCGGGGACACTGGGACCCCCAGGTTGGGACTGGGGTGTCCCCATGTGCCCAGGGACAGGGTGGCCCCACGTGTGCTCGGCTCCATTCCCGCCCCGGTTGCTCCCCACTGTGCTGGAGCACTGACACAGAGCTGTGTGGGCACTGGGCTGGGGGGGGTTTGGGGCCCGGAGCAGGGGCTGCCCGGACCCTGGGGACAGCAGGTGACCCCCGGGGACCCCTCGCCGTGGGGGCCCGGCGGGGATCAGCCCGGCCCGCTCCGTGTGCCACAGGCATCGGCAAGTGCGTGGCCATGGACCTGGCGCGCCGGAACGCCCGCACCATCCTGGCGTGCCGGAGCCGGGAGCGGGGCCAGGCGGCGGTGGAGGAGATCCGGGCGGCCACCGGGAACCCGGCGGTGGTGCTGCGACTGCTGGACACGGGCTCGCTGGCCTCGGTGCGCGCCTTCGCCCGCGCCGTGCTGCGGGAGGAGCCGCGGCTCGACGTGCTGGTCAACAACGCCGGTGTCACCGGTACGGCCCCGCGGCCCCGGCCCCGTCCAGCGCCCCGCCCCTTTTGCGCTGCCCACACAGTGCCCACCCCCCTTTTCCAGGGCTGCCCTTCACCATCACTGCCGAGCGGCTGGAGCAAACCTTCACCACCAACTACCTGGGCCCGTTCCTGCTCACCAACCTGCTGCTGGGTGTGTGGGGGCCGGGGGGCTCTGGGGTGCCCTCCCCTCTCACACCATTCCTGCTCAGCCCTGCTGCTGGGTGAGCACAGGGCTGTGGCGGATCCGGGACCCCTCCCCGCTCACCCCCTGCTCCCCACAGACCTGCTGAAGGCCTCGGCGCCCTCGCGGGTGGTCAATGTCTCGTCGTTCCGGCACAGCGTGGGCACGGCCGACAGCAGGTTCCTCACGGGGCAGCGGCACCCGGG